TGTCCCTATCACACTTTGCTAAGTACAAATCACTTAACACTGGAGCCACACTCGCACCAATACACACACCTTGCTTCTGCACGAGCTGTACGTCTTTAAAAACAATATATGTGGATTCCAAATAAAAGCCCAGCAACTCTAGAAAACCTTCCGCGGCAGCCCCACATTTATTTTGGAACTTGACCTCTCCAAACACCTCAATGGCCTCACGAATAGCTACGAAAAGCCCGTCATATGGTACAGAATAAAACAGGCTTTCAACGTCAAATAATACCGCATCACAGGCACCAGGGTTAGAATGTGTCAGAAACTCGACCACACTTTCTGAATGGTTCACTCTGAAAGGATCGTTCAAGTGAAGCTGGGAAAGGTGACGCTGAAGGTACGATGACGTCTGCATCTGCCACGACCCCTTCTGTGTCACAAGAGCCCTAAACGGCATGTCCACTTTATGAGTCTTCACCAGGAAAAAAACCATGAAAAAAACCTTTAGTTTAAGATCCTTAGCCCGTACGATCGACGCTTTTAAACTGCCCAGACTCAAGTTCTGGCACAGTTCAACAGCCCTCTTTTTTACCCTCGCGAGGGAAACCTTCTTTGCTTCCTTAAAATTCTTCTCTATTGACTGCTTGCCCTTACTTAAAAAATCCTTCTCAGTAACAAGGACAAACCCACCCTCCTTAATTTTCTGCTACCAGTAGCTTGAGATGTTCGTTCACACAAAAAGACACAACCTTGCCAAGTTTAGGCCACTGGAGGACACGCCCCCTCTTTGTCGGGGAAGGGTATCGACTCCATCTAAAATCCATCAATCTCTCTTACCTTGATCCACTCTGTCTCCCATATCTCGCACCAGTGTCAAGAGTTCCTGAGGCTTGACGTTTGCTATACCGGCAAACTTGGGTCTTTTCTCTGAAATCCTTACTATCTCCTCCGGAGTCTTAGCGTCACCAAGAAGCACCACCTCACACACGACCCTCTTCATCTTGACGGGCCTCGGTAGCGATGCCAGTACCCGTTGCCATAAAAACTCCGTATTCCTTTTGGCTTGGCGTCTACACTCCCTGAACTTCCATTCCGCCAAACCCCCATCCCTATAAACCGTGTGAAACCAAACCTTCAGACCATCTTGATGTAGTCTTACTTGCCTCCAGGTTTCTGCATGTAGAATCTTTGTAATCCTTTTCGCATGTCCGGTCGATGGCGGTATCTGGAAGAGGTTCAGGACTTCCGATGGGTAGCACCCGTTCCTTATGGCGTACGCACAGTGTCTCGCCTTGACAGACGTAACAGCGATGGCATTGATGAAGTATTTGTCTTGTTGGTAACCCGGTGAACAGTTATGTGCTCGATCTTGGTATTACAGAGAAGTCGCCAGTTATTTGACAATGACATATTTCTCGCGGTGAGTGAACAAGGGGAATTCTAAACAATGATAGGATATGATTTTGTGATTTGAAACAATCACAGCTATTGTCAAAATCAAACAAATAATACTCACTATCAATGCGACAGTTGGGTTCTGTTGCAAACAATTAATTTGAAACTTAAGCAAGTGGAGAAGACCAAAACAGCGTACCTCACGTCCATTGGAACTCCAAACCTCGTAACCATTGGTGTCCCGGCTTTCGGCAGTAATTGTTTCCCCACTTGGCACAGCAGGTGGTGTGGTGATGACGAACATTCATGCTTGACCACATTACGAAAACAACGAGTTCCCATAAAAAAAGAAAAGAAAGCCGCGCGCGCACGAACGCGGCACGAATCTCGCGCCGCAACGTACTCCCAGAAGCGAAACAGCTCGCGGGATCGCGTATCTCGCGCGTTCTATACTTCGTCTCACCCTAGCATGGACTAACCGCGAAGGTTGTGCTAGCGCGAGCGGCCAGCCTTGACTGGCTTGACTAGAGCACTTGCTGCACGAGCGCTCGTGCAGCCGCCGCGGCTTCATTCAATGGGGCTAACTCGCGCATTTAGCACGCGCGGCTAACAATAGTCCCTACTAAGGTGAGACGAAGTATAACGGTCCATCGACTTCCCGGCGCCAGCGGCCAGCGCATCTCGAGGAAGGCGCGAGGCGCGGGTTCAGAGAGAGAGAAAGCGCGCCTAGACGCGTTGAGAGAGTGAAAGAAAAAGTTAGGATAACAAGCTCCAAAGCTAGTCATACCTTCAACTTAATTTTATCGTTATTTAACGTTATAAATTATACGAATCATATGTATTTAAAACAAAATAACATCTGCCCACACCCGCTGGGAGCGCGACAATCAGAAGAAGTCCGCCGGACCGGACGTACGTCATAAATATACGCGGCCGGACATAAGTAGCCGAGAGCTTCATCACCCTGATTCGGCTTCAGGGGCGGTGCGTATGCGCGAATACTGGAAGTCGCGTAGAGTGGAACCACTGGGTATTATTTCACTGTGGTACCTATAGCTGCGCAGATTCCCTTTTTCTGACCTGATCGTATTTTCAGCTTTGTCATTCTCTGAGATCCTCCTATTGTCCGCCGTGACTGGCTGTCTCTGTGCTCTGGAGCAACGTGAGATCACGGTCTTGTTTTGAATGCACACTATGTCCTATACAGAGCAGTGCTTATCATCGATAAAAAAAACTCAGAGTCGCTAGGTTTTGGCGCATACGCATCGTCAGATATTCCGCGGAAGGAAGCTACTGCACATGCTCAGAAAGCGTTCCACAGCTCAGCCAACAAAAATGGCTGTGCACAAAAGACCATTATTGGAAATGTATATATTGTTTCAGCTTAAGTCCAGACCCAGCCGACTCTATGCCTGTGTTACAAAATTTACTCGATCTTACTCTAGGGTAAAGGTTTAGCTACCTTGACGCTCGAAAACCTATCCGCGTCCAGCGCTGCTGTATGTCTTGTCACGTGGCATGATCTATCGGAGTAATTCGGATCCATTCGAGTAAGATTTGGAACACAACCTATAGGTGCTAATGGGACCAATCAAGCAGCGCCAAAGCGCAAGTCACTAGGCCTTTTTGTTTATGACTGGCTCAGCGATGATGGAACACGTACAGTAACATGACGAACACCGTGATGGTGAGATTGTTACGCTGTCTCATTGGTCCCATCAACTCGTAGCATCGGCTGCATCCGGACTTAAAGGAACTCTCCAGCTTAAAATGGGGGTCGTTAGTATTACACAAAAACCTCGTGCCAGAGGACCTCCTCGAGGAAGTCCCCACGAAATTTCAACTCGTCATTTAAAAATAAAGCTTATGAAACGCCTCTGGATATTCCCGTGTTGCAACTCAGTCGATAAACGAACCATGACGTAACAAAATTAAAATGCCGTCTCCTTAGGACTCTCCGTCTTCCACTCTTCTCGGTCCCACCTGTTGTCTTCGCGTCGGTCGCACTGTTCAACGCCATATCGGATTCATATTAGCAGCAACAGCGAGCTGCAAACAAGGACAAATTGGGAGGATACACAGAAAGACAAACACAACGATGACTTGCGGATCACGTTTCTTATACTTTGTAAGAAACAGGACCATGGTACAAAAAAAAAAAACAACTGAAAATTGGTGCTCATCACATTGACTACTTCTCCAAGTAATATAATTATTTGGCGTATATAGGAGGGGAAGTGGCGCTAGCTGATACACTTTCCTCGAGTCGCACGATCTTCTTTGTCTCAATATTTTATCTTATTAGAGGGTGGCCACTCCGCGCCAATACAGTGCATATTGTGAACTGGGGATCGCGACCACAGTCTCGGCACTGAATCACTAGATGGCCAGAGACAGTCTTGTTTGCGTTGTTATGATGCTCTCGCAGCCCATCCGACTAGAGCCACTTATATAAGCTTATATATGGGAGACTCTGGTCCTACATAGATCTCGGGTGTCTCGGGAGAGCGGCTCGATGTTCGTAAGAAGGGGTACGTCACGATTAGTTGCTGTGCTATATTGTTACGTCACAGGTTTCGTCGAGTGACGAAACGAAAATGAGTGTATCAAAGTCTAAGCTTCTCGAATTAATTTTTTCGTAACATCTTAGTTACTTTTGTTTGATAATTTAGCAACGTAATTGAGGGTACGTAAAATTTCTCGATCCGTGAAGACCTTCAGTAGTTTATTCTAATGCTGGAGAAACCATTTTAGGCGAAACGAGCTATAGCGGGGTTACTTCATCAAGTAAAATCCCCCGCGTAATTGGCTGAAATCAACTATCGCTTTGAACGTTATGGTATACATATTGACTTCGCACGTTAAAAATACTTTCAGCACTTTTGCTTTTTCACCCAGTTCATGCGTATTTAAAAATGAAACAGCCCTCGTATACTCATATTGAGAAATGTACGATTCCACCACTATAGGCGCGGTCGGGATACTGTGTCGCGATGCCTGCATGATAAACTAACAGCTGGACTACAAGTGCCCTGAGACCGTGATTTGTGTGTCACTTCACAATTTTCGCGAACGTAGTTCTCAGATCACACGGAACAAAGAATATCTCGTTCAGCAAATTCAAGAAACGTGACAGCGTTGTTACGATAGAAGCAATTTGATACTCACAGAATGAATGGTATACCTCTAGAAAAGTTATGTATGTTGTCCTATCACGCACTGTATATACCATTTTTTAATCTTTACTTATAATTATTAGTTATCGAAGCTAACAAACAATAAATAACCACAGTTTCCAGTGCATAGTGGGTGCAGTATACGTGCAGGAATTTCTGAGATGTGACGGTTGTAAAGGTGTTTCGTTACTGGAGTCTACAGACTGGTAGCAGTATAGCTGTTAAAAAAAAAAAGCTTCAAAGGACTTCAGACAAGTAAAACAAACGAATTATAGGCCCTTATACAGGAGGCGACGTCTTGATCCTTCTATCTTTCTGTTGTCTTTAAAACAACTTCACCTTCTGTGGTAACAGTGTGTCGTATGGCTGCGTGTCTAGTGTAAGGTGCGTACATGTTCTATGTTCTCTTTTTCTGGAACGCGAACCAACTCTTCGGAAGCGCAGGGTTCGGAGGAGACAGCACCAAGGTCTGCCTCTCGCCGGGCTGCGTCAACGCCGGTAAGGAAAGCGCTGCATCAATTCTTTGCAGAATTTATCTATCCTAGGCGAATTACGCCTTTAACACCATGTTGGCAGACAAAAAAAGACATTTCTTTGGCCGCCTTGTTCCATCAGTGACTCTAAACAAATATGAGAGCCGAAAGACAATAAACGAACGCTGCAGGAATGAGGAGTCTCAATGGGTGCATGAAGATTGTGTCTATCGAATTTGTTACGGTCTAAGAAACTGTTAGCGATGAATTACGGGACGTAATGTAAATTTGAACTAACCGCGAAAAAGAAAGTGTATATTTAAGGATATCTAAATAAGGGCTCTTTTTCGCCGCTTGAAGGTTTAGCTAGCATTGTCTCAGAACATTTCCTCAACGTGACTTAAGCGATAATTTGTAGGTGTTTACCTTGCATGTCTCCCCGAACGGTTCCTTTGTTAACCTGTATACGCACTTCCAGCTCCAACGCAACGCGTTCTCCCTTAAGCTGAGACTGCAGCTAATGCCACAAGCACGAGAGCTCGAAGTCGCTGCCTTGAAGCTTTCTTGAACAGAACGAGCACTAGTGCTAGAAATGCACGTCTCAAAGCCAGGAGCGCGCGCTAGCCCGCGCTTGTAGCTTTGGCTGCAGTCTCAGCTAAAGGGTGAAGAGAATATAGTTAGTGATTGCACCCAAATCCACGATTCGCAAAATAGTGCCCGCCGCCTATCGCGCAACGCCGGAAACGTCGACATTTTGGGTGCGAGGCTGGAAAGTGGTTGGAATACAACTAGGCTTCGCGATGCATAGTTTGGCTTGATGCATGTGGGGAGTAAAGTTCGTGCGCGCAGTCTGTTCAAGCGTTGCCCCAAGGCCCAGATTAAACAGTGTGGAAAATTCACCCAGGAGCGTACAAAAACGACGTACCCGTGACAAAATGTGTGCTGCAGATCCGTCAGTGCACGTTCGGCTGCCATGGTGAGCCGTCCATGTTCCTTCTCCTCACGACAGCTATCCAAGCCTATCTTAGCAGGATACAGCTTGCTGCAAACGGAAATCAAAAAAAAAAAAAAAAATCTTGGCTTTTTTTTAACTATAAAAGGGAAGGGCGCCACGAGAGCGCACTACGCGAGAGCGCCGACGGAAGAGCGTGCGACAGGAGAGCGCCGCGACACGAGAGCGCCCGACAGCAGAGCGCTACGACACCAGAGCGCACGACGGGAGAGCGAGCGAGAGGAGAGCGCGTGCCACTAGAGCGGGCGTCATGAGAGCGCGCGTGCGCGCCTGGGGAATGACCGATATTGGAGTCTTCAAACACATGTTTTCTCGGATAGCGCAGTTTTTTGCAAGTAAGTTAGTTGCCCAATATATTGTAAATTATATGCAACATACAGGGTGCTTTTTGTTTTATCAAAACGATATTTCATTAAAGTAGGGCTTTGTGCTTTGTGGATGTTGTCTTCGGTATGTGCTGTTCAATGTTGGTGGACAATGGAGGTACCAATATGCGGTTTGGGCAATGAACTAACAGTCTCTAATTACCCCTTTAGTTTATGGTTGCATGGTTCATGTTGCAATTGCAAGTACCGCCGTCTAATAACGTTGTTGGTTGGGGGTTCCGGAGGAAATTTCCCTGGAAAAAGAGGTCCCCGGAAAAAGAGGTCTCCGGAAAAAAATGTCCCGGAAAAAAGATTCTTAGGTGTAAAGTAGGAAGAAATGCCACCAAAGGGTTCTCTATTGCTGGGTTTCCCTGATTCTCATGACCTTCGGGAGGTCCGGTCGTTGTGTGGTCCAAGTGACCTGACCCATGCTAGACTACGTCCGCGGTGTCGCGCAATCATTCAATCTTTGAATGTTTTTTTTTAATATAATGGAGCGGCAATCGATAAACCACTATATTTCCGAAATTCTGAATCATGCTTCTTCATTTCGAGTTTGCGAAAATTGTATTTTTTAGTCTTCCTACAAGTATGCATACTCAACCAATAAAATGACGTAAAGCGTTCGATCCGAGAAAACATGTGTTTGAAGACTCAAACATCGGTCATTCCCAAGGCGCGCACATGCGCTCTCGTGACGCGCGCTCTAATGGCACGCGCTCTCGTGTCGCGGCGCTCTCCCGTCGTGCGCTCTGGTGTCGCGGCGCTCTGCTGTCGTGCGCTCTGCACGCGCTCTCGTGTCGCGGCGCTCTCCCGTCGTGCGCTCTGGTGTCGCGGCGCTCTCCCGTCGTGCGCTCTGGTGCCGCGGCGCTCTCCCGTCGTGCGCTCTGGTGTCGCGGCGCTCTCCCGTCGTGCGCTCTGGTGTCGCGGCGCTCTGCTGTCGTGCGCTCTGCACGCGCTCTCGTGTAGCGGCGCTCCCCCGTCGTGCGCTCTGGTGTCGCGGCGCTCTCCCGTCGTGCGCTCTGCACGCGCTCTCGTGTCGCGGCGCTCTCCCGTCGTGCGCTCTGCACGTGCTCTCGTGTCGCGGCGCTCTCCCGTCGTGCGCGCTGGTGTCGCGGCGCTCTGCTGTCGTGCGATCTGCACGCGCTCTCGTGTCGCGGCGCTCTCCCGTCGTGCGCTCTGGTGTCGCGGCGCTCTCCCGTCGTGCGCTCTGGTGCCGCGGCGCTCTCCCGTCGTGCGCTCTGGTGTCGCGGCGCTCTCCCGTCGTGCGCTCTGGTGTCGCGGCGCTCTGCTGTCGTGCGCTCTGCACGCGCTCTCGTGTAGCGGCGCTCCCCCGTCGTGCGCTCTGGTGTCGCGGCGCTCTCCCGTCGTGCGCTCTGCACGCGCTCTCGTGTCGCGGCGCTCTCCCGTCGTGCGCTCTGCACGCGCTCTCGTGTCGCGGCGCTCTCCCGTCGTGCGCGCTGGTGTCGCGGCGCTCTGCTGTCGTGCGATCTGCACGCGCTCTCGTGTCGCGGCGCTCTCCCGTCGTGCGCTCTGGTGTCGCGGCGCTCTCCCGTCGTGCGCTCTGGTGCCGCGGCGCTCTCCCGTCGTGCGCTCTGGTGTCGCGGCGCTCTCCCGTCGTGCGCTCTGGTGTCGCGGCGCTCTCCCGTCGTGCGCTCTGGTGCCGCGGCGCTCTCCCGTCGTGCGCTCTGGTGTCGCGGCGCTCTCCCGTCGTGCGCTCTGGTGTCGCGGCGCTCTGCTGTCGTGCGCTCTGCACGCGCTCTCGTGTAGCGGCGCTCCCCCGTCGTGCGCTCTGGTGTCGCGGCGCTCTCCCGTCGTGCGCTCTGGTGCCGCGGCGCTCTCCCGTCGTGCGCTCTGGTGCCGCGGCGCTCTCCCGTCGTGCGCTCTGGTGTCGCGGCGCTCTGCTGTCGTGCGCTCTGCACGCGCTCTCGTGTAGCGGCGCTCTCCCGTCGTGCGCTCTGGTGTCGCGGCGCTCTCCCGTCGTGCGCTCTGGTGCCGCGGCGCTCTCCCGTCGTGCGCTCTGGTGCCGCGGCGCTCTCCCGTCGTGCGCACTGGTGCCGCGGCGCTCTCCCGTCGTGCGCTCTGGTGTCGCGGCGCTCTCCCGTCGTGCGCTCTTGTGCCGCGGCGCTCTCCCGTCGTGCGCTCTGGTGCCGCGGCGCTCTCCCGTCGTGCGCTCTGGTGTCGCGGCGCTCTGCTGTCGTGCGCTCTGCACGCGCTCTCGTGTAGCGGCGCTCTCCCGTCGTGCGCTCTGGTGTCGCGGCGCTCTCCCGTCGTGCGCTCTGGTGCCGCGGCGCTCTCCCGTCGTGCGCTCTGGTGTCGCGGCGCTCTCCCGTCGTGCGCTCTGGTGTCGCGGCGCTCTGCTGTCGTGCGCTCTGCACGCGCTCTCGTGTAGCGGCGCTCCCCCGTCGTGCGCTCTGGTGTCGCGGCGCTCTCCCGTCGTGCGCTCTGCACGCGCTCTCGTGTCGCGGCGCTCTCCCGTCGTGCGCTCTGCACGTGCTCTCGTGTCGCGGCGCTCTCCCGTCGTGCGCGCTGGTGTCGCGGCGCTCTGCTGTCGTGCGATCTGCACGCGCTCTCGTGTCGCGGCGCTCTCCCGTCGTGCGCTCTGCACGCGCTCTCGTGTCGCGGCGCTCTCCCGTCGTGCGCTCTGGTGTCGCGGCGCTCTGCTGTCGTGCACTCTGCACGCGCTCTCGTGTCGCGGCGCTCTCCCGTCGTGCGCTCTGCACGCGCTCTCGTGTCGCGGCGCTCTCCCGTCGTGCGCTCTGGTGTCGCGGCGCTCTCCCGTCGTGCGCTCTGCACGCGCTCTCGTGTCGCGGCGCTCTCCCGTCGTGCGCACTGGTGTCGCGGCGCTCTCCCGTCGTGCGCCCTGCACGTGCTCTCGTGTCGCGGCGCTCTCCCGTCGTGCGCTCTGGTGTCGCGGCGCTCTGCTGTCGTGCGCTCTGCACACGCTCTCATGTCGCGGCGCTCTCCCGTCGTGCGCTCTGCACGCGCTCTCGTGTCGCGGCGCTCTCCCGTCGTGCGCTCTGGTGTCGCGGCGCTCTCCCGTCGTGCGCTCTGCACGCGCTCTCGTGCCGCGGCGCTCTCCCGTCGTGCGCTCTGGTGTCGCGGCGCTCTCCCGTCGTGCGCTCTGCACGCGCTCTCGTGTCGCGGCGCTCTCCCGTCGTGCGCTCTGGTGTCGCGGCGCTCTCCCGTCGTGCGCTCTGGTGTCGCGGCACTCTCCCGTCGTGCGCTCTGCACGCGCTCTCGTGTCGCGGCGCTCTCCCGTCGTGCGCTCTCGTGTCGCGGCGCTCTCCCGTCGTGCGCTCTGGTGTCGCGGCGCTCTGCTGTCGTGCGCTCTGCACGCGCTCTCGTGTCGCGGCGCTCTCCCGTCGTGCGCTCTGCACGCGCTCTCGTGTCGCGGCGCTCTCCCGTCGTGCGCTCTGGTGTCGCGGCGCTCTCCCGTCGTGCGCTCTGGTGTCGCGGCACTCTCCCGTCGTGCGCTCTGCACGCGCTCTCGTGTCGCGGCGCTCTCCCGTCGTGCGCTCTCGTGTCGCGGCGCTCTCCCGTCGTGCGCTCTGGTGTCGCGGCGCTCTCCCGTCGTGCGCTCTGCACGCGCTCTCGTGTCGCGGCGCTCTCCCGTCGTGCGCTCTGGTGTCGCGGCGCTCTCCTGTC